ATACCACAACAGTACAAACCAAAGGATATAAAACATAATAATACATGAATTAATTAAAAACAGTTTGTCCTAAGGTGGCACAATGCAGGAAACAACATAACTCATAAATCGAGGAGCCATTATGAGTCACTAATGTAGTTTTACTCCTCCTGAGTCTTCCTTATCATCCCTCCTCTCAAGCTTTCACTTAGAAAATATTAAACAACAAGGATTAGACAATGTCTCAATAACTAAATCTCTATCTATGACACACACTACCATAGGTTAGCGAGGTGTCAGGTGGGATACACAGAGTCAATAACAATCAATAGACATTTATTCAACAGTTAAACTCATAATAACCATATAAGTCAAATATTTCTGCCAATATCATATAGCTGATAATTTCAAAAAAGATAACATACCTTTCATTTATTTAAAAGATATAAATATCAATGAAAATCTCATGTTGTGTGTAATCCATGATTCTAAATCCATCCTTAGATCCTCCTTATTTCTGTTGACTGCATACGTGGGCTAAGTTTTTTCCATTTGACTGGCTACTCTGACAAGCTCACTACATGAGTGATATGGACTGGCCAAAGACCACAAAGCACTTGGTGGACCATGGATCTCCCTTGAAGAACTAGTAGAGTTTCGTAGTCTCTTGAAGAACTAGTGAGACAATAATAGTTGTCAACCATAGAGTTTCGTATGGAGGTCAATACCATGTGGCATGTATATATCTGCATACTCCAATCATCTCCTCCCCCCAACCATATCAGATGCACAAGGTTCACAATAACATATTTATATACGTAATTAAAAAAATTTCAAAATAATACCTTTCATACAAAGCATAATATACGTATACAAAAAGTGGTTATAAAACCACTCACCGACTTCATACCAGAGTAGGTAAAAGATAGAAATTTAGTTACTTGGGCTCCTAACTAACAATCAAGTACAAACAAGACCTGTACTAAAAAATGCCATAGTAGTATTTACATCTACAAATGAAATTAATACATTATATTTACAGTATTAAAGTAAACTACTCACAAATTTAGTCTTTAACTCTCTCTCTCTCTAATACCTTCAACTGTTACTCAAAATTCTAGCTCTAAACTCTTTTTCTAAGGTTTAGGGTAAGAACATATATATGAGGATTTAGATTCAATTCTTAGATTCCCTTAACTTATGTTATCTCTAATTATTAAATTATATCATTTGAATTACCAAATTCATAACCTAGATAAAGAACCCTCAATTTATAACTTACGTTCTATTTTCAGTGAATTTAGACAAACAATCTCAATATGAGTTAATTTATTCTTTTTGTAGAAGTCTAATTATTAATCCAACCATTGAATTTAATGTCTTACATGTCACAAGTCTACTCTCTAAATTTCGGGTTAATCCAACGGTGAATGAATTTAAAAACGCTAATCTATTATTTAGTATTCTATCTACCAAATCTAAAAATATAAATTAAAAACATATCTAATAACTTGTAACTTAGAGATCGAATTGACTATCCAACAGTTGAAACTAGATCAGTTGACTAAATTGCAGCCCGATCCAACAATTCACAAACTTGTAAATGTAACATCCCGACTTTTGGGCCTAGAAGTACCAGAAGTAGTCTAAATTGGATAGGCTACCAGACCCGTATTAGCAGAGGTCCTAAAGACGAGACAAGAAGTTAAAGCAGTTTCAAGGACTAAACTGCAAGGTGAAAGTTTTAAGGGGCTAAAGTGTGATCAAAGTTAGAGGTTCCACTAAAGTCTCGAAGACCCAAAGAGAGAAAAGAGGATAGATACAAGCCAAACGTTAAGTTAGAAGCCTCAAAGAGATGGTTTTATGAGGTTGAGCTTAAGCAGGGGTAAAACCGTAAATTCAGAAAGTTACGGCTATCAGGGGTAAAAATAGAAAGTACACAGAAAATTCTAAGAAAATTTCAAAAAAGAAAATCATATTATAAGACTCTTTTGTGAAAAAGAAATGATGAAAATACCCCTGAGATAGTTTAAATGGAATTTATAAGGTTATGACTAGTAAAAAGTACACTGTTTGAGGTAATTATTTAAAATAGCAAGAGACCTAAAAAATGTACACAAAAATGAGATTAGATGGTTGAAAGATTATGCTAATTTATAAAAATATTCATGCAACCAAAAGGTTAGCGGAATGGTTTTAATAAAATATAAAGCCAGTTATGCTGTTAATAGGGTATTTTAGTAAATGATTTTTATGTAAAACTTAAAGGAAATGTTATGGCTTGAGAAAATTCATAGATATTCTCTAGAATTAAAAAGAATTTATAAAGTAGATAGAAGAATTTTCTGAACTCCGAAAGACTATAAAGAAAGTTGGAGAAACGTGGGCCAAGTAAAGTAAGAGGAAACTTAGGGAACAAGTTTTGATCTAATGGCTAGGATCTAATCTCCCTTCTCCTCCACCACTTTTGTGACACCTAGCACCTTCTAGAAGAATGAGGTAAGGATGATGCAAGAAGATAATGCAATGGTGATGTAAAAGTCTACTTAAAGTTCCAAAATTGCCCTTACTCTTTCTATTAGCCACCAAGGGTATTTTGGTCCATTCAAGCCAAATTTTTGGCTATAAATAGAGCCTCTCCCCCTACATATTTTTGGCCAACATGAGTTTAAGAGGAAAAAATCTTGCAAAATATTTTCTTGAAGATGAATCAAGAGGAAACCATCTACCTAAGCTTGGATACAAGGTTAGTTTTATGTTCTACCTTGTATTTTGCTTTGTATTCTTGAGTTTGATTGTTGAACTATGTGGGATCCCCTAAGGGGAGGTGCTGGCCAAATTTATATAAGCTTAGGGGAGGATGACTTTGATGATATATCTAATAAAACATATTGGCTCAAGGTTTTTTCAAGTAGTCTTGTGTTGATATGTGAAAGAATTTATGATTGTTTAAGGAAGGATAGTGTTCGGCCAGTTTAAGTTTTGTATCCTAGGATGTGATTTTGATGATTCTAAGGCTTCCAATAGATTTAAAATGAAAAATGGTGTAAGGTAAACCTAAAGAACAAGTATTGGAAGCATTGGAATTAAAGTTGGGATTTTTGGATTTCAAACCCCCCTATTCGGCCAACACTAATTTTTGGAAAAGGAGTTGGATTTTTATAAATCTAAGTGGATATTTGGATTCCTTGGAAAAAATTGTGTAGGATTACCCTAAGAGAACAATTTTTACAAAGCTAGAACATTAATCTAAAACTTAAGGGAAAGAGGCTAAGTTCAAGAGAGATAGTCTTGAACCTTATGTAGTATCTTGGTCCTAATAGATTTTGTGATCATTATGACTATGTTTAGAAATTTGGAACATCTAAAAAGATTTTTGATTGACATTGATCGAAAGCTATTATAGTTGGGAAGTCAAGGGAGTCAAAGGAAAAGCAAGAGGAAACTTGAAGTATAAGGTGGTGAACTTACTCTTTATGTGCTTGATGTGGTATGCTTATATGTTGGTTTGTTTTGTTGATGTTTGTATGATATTGTGACATGATAACTATTACTGGAAATATTGTTTTTAATATGTTTTCATGGCCATGCATTTTTATACTAAGCATAAATATGGTGGCATGTCACTGGTTAACTTAAGTTTATGGAAAACTACATACCACACACTAGCATTCATCTTGTGTATGCATGTAGTAATGTTTGCTACTGAGATTCTCCCGAATCTCACCCCTCCCTAACCAACCATTTATGTCAATCAATGTTGGGCAATAATGGCATGAGAAGCAAGGAGAAGAAAGTGGAGAATTATTGATGTTAATGAATGATATTATTATTCAATATGTAATTCTCCTATTATGTAATTTATGTTATGAATGCCTATGATGCCAAGTAATTAATTATCATGTTATATATGCCAAAGAAATAAAAAGAATTAAAGTAAAGAGATGTTAAGAGATAAAACGTAGGTCATGGAGCAGTGAGTTTGTAGCTCCAGTTTGACCTATCAAACGAATGAGTTAAGCCGTTAGATTCCCTTCATTATTTAGTCGATGTAGGACTTCTCAAAATTGCTATTTTATTCATTTTCTTATATATACACACACACATATACACATACATAAAATTATAGTTATTTTAGTTGCTTATATATATTCGATCTTTTTTAAGTGGATCATAATAAATATTTACTTAAATCTAATAGATAATAAAATTGGGATGTTACGTTTTGCAATTAAAAAATAATGATACTTTTTTAATAATTAATTATAATTCATAAAAAATAATTAAAAAACAATTATTAGATTTGACATTTAAAACATAAACAGAATCCGAAGCATAATTGTATGAAAATGACAAACCCTGCTTTCAAAAGAGAAATTAAATTATAAAGGTGATTAATTTAGATTGTAGAGAAAAATTAGTTTTAGAAATTACACTCAAATTCTAAGACTTAGCTTTGAAATGTTTTTAACATTTTTTATGATGAGGATTTAAAATTATTTTAGCCATAGGATATTATACAGCCAGTAATTAAAAATAATTTGGGTTAAGGCGTATACAGCATCTTGAAACATTTTTTTGGATGTATCTAGCACGTGAAAAATATTTTTCACGTGCGTCTAACACCTTAAAATGTTTTTTTTTGTCTTAGTGTTGGATGCACCAAAAATATTTTTGGTGCTACTACACTTAAAAAAAAATACTTGAGAGTACTAAATGTACTAAAAAAATATTTTAAGACCCTGGATATACTTAAATTAATATTTTAGAGTGTTAGATATATCATAAAATATTTTAAAATGCTGAATATATTTGAAAAAATATTTCACCCAATAATAAGTTATGATTCTTTCATTTTTCACGGGTAGAGGAAAAAGAAAACCAACGGGAATGTCATTTTATGATCAGCCATCCGCTGACATATGATTCAAATCGAACGGTTTAAGGTTTTTAGAAGGGTTTCTGAAACAATATGGAAAACAGAGACGTTGCCACGTTTCCAATCTGAGGTGCGAATCCCACTTTCCCTATTGCATAATTCGGAGTTCCCCTCTCAGTTCCGCTGCGGCAGGGTTGAAAGTTGAAACCACCGTCGTCGAGAAGTTTCCGATCGTCTCAGGTACCCTCTCAGCTTTTTTCTTGTCAAAATGGTTATCTCTTTCTTAAACATGATTTTCTGCTGCTGTTAGGATCATGGAGGGTTTTAGTGTGGACGATTCCTCGAATCCCTTCGCCCGCTTCGCATTCACGTATGTATAAGTCGTCAGTCTCTCTGCTCCTTTGAAATATCAATATTCTTAGGAAAATAACGAATCATTGCCCTTCTATCTGTAGAGGCAAAGTTGATCCATGGAAGCCGGGATTTGCTACCCGTACGGCACCATCCAGGCTTATACCTGTTAATAGTAACTACAGAGCCAACATACCTCCTCTTTCGAAGGGTGTGGTTAAGAAAAAGCGTGTGGGTGTAGTTAAGAAAAAGGGTTCGGATAAGAAAAAGAGCGTGGATGAGAGAAAGTCAAAACCCAAACCTCTTAACGCTGGTGAGAAAAAGAAGGATGCCTACAAAAGAAAAGCTCCGAATAATACTTGGAAACCTCCACGATATGAGCCTCCTCTTATCCAAGAGGATCATACTCATGATCCTTGGAGGGTGTTGGCTCTTTGTATGCTGCTAAATCGTACCAGTGGAAAGCAGGTAAATTTATGCATCTCCCTTTTTTACCATTTAATTTTAATCGGTGTTTTCCTTTGAATCTTAATCTCATTGGTGTTTCCATATGTTCATATCATGTTATTTAAATTTGGACATATTTAATTCATACATGTAAGTTCATATGTAATTAGTCTATCTCAAGCAATATTAGTTAAAATATCATTTCTTTAAATCTTCGAAAAAGATGAAGCAGGTTCCTTTAGATTCAATGAGATCATCATAAGGTTAGTGTCCTTTTTTCCCCTTATTTATAACTGCTTGGTATATGTTTCATATTATCTCATCTCAATTACATGCATCCCGCATTCTCAAAACATAGTAATCACATATATTTTTGTTTAATGGATATAATTCCAGTAATTACTCATAAAAGAGAGTTTTGTAATGCAGGTTAGAGGAATTATTTCAAAGTTTTTTGATCTGTTCCCAACACAAACATGCATTCAAGTCCCTTCTAATGTATTGGAAAAGGAAATCAGAAGTCTAGGTTTCCAACACGAAAGGACAAAAAAATTAAAACGCTTATCTCAAGAGTATTTAGGAAAAAGTTGGACACATGTGCACCAACTATATGGTGTTGGCAGGTAAGTTAGATGATGCCATTTGCTTTCTAGCTTATTTTTCATATATTTTAGCCATTTTTTCTCGAATTGATGCTAGCCTAACTAACATCGATTCTATTTCAACCAGGTATGCAGCTGACGCATATGCTATATTTTGTAATGGGATGTGGAATGATGTGAAGCCGGAGGATCATATGCTAACTCGTTATTGGGAGTTTCTTTGTGAAACGAGGGGCAGTTGATGGAGTGCCTGTGTCTCTTGGGAAGACACCTGCAATTATTTTGAGGCAAGTAAATGGTAGAAAAGATTAAGCTTTTAGGAGTCCCATATGACGTGTTACTTATAAACATTGCAAGGTTTTAAGTTGTTTTCCAAGTCGCTGATCCTGATGTTTAATAATGGCAAGACTTTCATAAGCTGAAGTGGTTGTTTGAAGTTGTTGCAAATCTAGTGATTAAATCTTATTTAAATGCTAATATTTTAGATGACAATCTGGGTGATCAGGCATTTAAATTCATGTTTGGTAATCAACTGAAGACAGTTTCGTATCATCAGAAAATTATGTGTCCACATTGAGAGAGCAAACAAATAATTAGCTTGTTATTTACTGAGTTTTGCTTCTCCGGCTTTATCCATTGGATGTATTTCCCAACAGCTGCTTGAGAATATTGATTAACATTTTAAGTGTTTGCTCTGTTTTCCAAAATTTGCATATCTTCTTATGACTAGTTAGATGATATTGTTGGAGCAAGCACAACATTCTACTCTTGGGCGTGCTAATCATTTCTAGGACTTTGGCTTTTTCACAGAACACTCGCCTTCAATGACCATATTATTGGCTCCGTCTCTGCATAGAAGAAAGTGAGATTTTATTTTAGGGTATAGATTTAAATATTAGGATTTGAGTTTCATTTGTAGACCTAAATATTTGGGATTTCTTTTCTAGTTCAAGCATGTCGTTAGACTGGCTGTGGGCTTTTATAGTAGGTTTTGGAGGACCAAGTAACATGTCAGCGTTGCTTCCTTGCTGCCACATTTGATTATGACAAGTTTACTAATGACTCTTGCATCTTTGTTATGATGCAAAGTGTTACAGGTGCACATGGCTATGGTTTTGAAGCTTAGGTTGCTGACTTGTAGATCTTTTATTGACAAATGAAAGTAGGAACTCTTGAAGAATTTTAACTCTGGTTCATGTAAAGCTGATGTTTTTGGTGGTTGACTTGGAGAATGACTATCTAGTGGACTTTTATTAGACTTCACTAAGGGTAATGTAATGAGTATTTGCCCGTGAACAGCAATACTCTTCTATTCTACCTCTTTTACTTTAGTTGAAAACTCAGCCATATTTATTGCTATAACATCGTTTAAATGTTTTTGCTGTATGCTGATGTGTTCTAACTAGTTTTTGTTTGGTCAATTCTAAGCAGTGTTCTATCATTTATGTCATGATCGCTTTTCTGGGTCTTTAATTTTGGGAAGGCCTAAAATGCATGTATATGGTATTCATGTATAGGATCATCATCATCATCATCATCAAGATGCGCAAGAACCGTTCGAAATAAAATCGGCTGTTTCCTTTCGAAAACGCTAGATGAAAAGGAGATTTCTAGACCACCATCCATTTACCGCAATCAGTATTGAAATTAGAAGGCTCAACCACATGCAGCCATTGCCTATCTGGTTGTCTGAAATGGAATGCCCGAAGTCACAGCATCTAAACCCTATCTACGTTGCGGTGAATAAAGGAATTTGTACGTTCCCAAATAACAATCAGGCCCAAAGATTGTGCCTCATTGGATCGGTCTCCTTGTTTACCATATTACTAGTATATCGTGCTGGGTGAAAATAATTGTTTCATAACATAATGATTATTAATGTATGAGATTATTTATTTTTGAAGACTTGTAACTGAGATATTTTTTATTATTATTATAACTAGTTAGATATTATTAAGATAATTCATAAATATTACGAGTGTAGCTCGTAATCATTTTGGATTCAGTCCAAGGTGAGTAATTGACTAAGTTAATTGAAGTTAATTTTTTGATGGTGAAAAATAATATATGGTATATTAAGTCTGGAGCAATACTCTAATCTCTTATCTGCTCACTCTTTGAGGATTCCCCACTAGTGACGATTACATTTTAGTCATTATTGTGTCCAATCACCAGTTGAAAGATTTTTTGTATTGCTTTCTCTAACAATGTTCTTGGATTCACAGCTCCTTATCATTCAGATCAAGTTCTACATCAAATCAACTAAGCTAATGGTGAGAGGTATTTATAAGTATCATATACATATATATAATCTGGATTTGATTAAATAATATATATATATATATAGATATAGATATATGTTGTTTTGCTTACACTAACTTGTATATAACAATCTAATAACTATTACGAAATAGTTAGGAAGTATAAAATTACATAAATATTAATATATTTATTTTATATGCTGTAAAATCATTCAAGGGAAAAAGAAATATAAATACCTTCAAAATTATGAAATCCCAAATAAGTGCCTCAAATTTCACAAATGCCAAATTCCTTCCTGCATACCAATTTTGGAATTTCAAAATGTTATCAGTTTACTTGTATGACCTTCTTTTCATTTTCTTCTCTCCTCCCCTTCACCCTTCCTCAAAAACCAGAAAAACCAAGTACGACTTTGAGCATGATGGAGGATGGCATGAGATTGACGGCAAAGGCAATGACGGATGGAGACGGTGATAGCAGACAACGCTGTGCTCTTCCACCTGGTCCTGCGATATTGATGATGTGGTTGTTATTCATCTTCTTCAGTACGATTCCTTCTGAGATGTGATGGCTCTTTGTCCTGGTTCTGTGACGGTGATGATTGTTCTAGTGAAGATGATGCTGGTGATTCATCAATTTCTTACCACCATTGAAAGCTGATTTTCCCTCTACAGTGTTCACTTTCGTCCTCTTTGATTTCTCATCTTCTCCATTTCAAATCAGGTGCTTCGTCTTCTTCACTCTGTGTTCTCCATTTTAGATATGGGTTGAAGACGATTTTTTATTTAAGCTAGGATTGATTTTAGATTATTTTCATGATTTGGATTTTAAAATTTATTTGTGGTGGAAGTCCAAATTTGGAGGGGAGACAATGAAAAAGATGATCAATCAAAGAGACAGATGATGATTGATGATTTTTTTTTTTGGTTGCTAACAGAATCTCATGCCATACGATTTCTCTCATGTTTTATTGCTAAGAGCTTTGTGTTTAGAACAATCGACTAACAGAAGGAAGCCACTTATGAGGTGGATTTGCTAACAAGATCCATCAAGTTCAACATTTACTTTTTTGTAGAAGCATGAACAATATCCCATTTGCTAAATCTTTGGTCAATTCTTTGTGATTTTTTGAGATTCATATGGTTTCTATGACTGGTTTTTTTTTATGGTTTTTTTTCAGCCATAGGTAGGCCTTTACCATTTCTTAGGTGCCCCTAAATGCAAGGAGCTCATTGTTGTTAATGCTTAATCTAATATAGGAAATTTTGTTATTGCCATGAAAAGTCTGGTTTGTAGTTAATCACTAACATAAAGTTATTAATAGCTATAATGTTGTTGTTTCTAGTAATATATGTTATATTCAATCTACTCATGCAATATATTATATTTTTAGAGTTACTACTTTATTTAGAGTTACTACTTTATCAAGCCTTTTGACAACTACGTAGTATTTGGTGACTACTTGTATTTGAAACATACTACTTGAATTTTGTAATATTTATTAGTTAATAATGGCTTTATATGTATTCACTACAAGTATTAAAAACTTTGTTACAGGCATGAATATATTAACAATTTTGTTACAGGCATTGACAACTTTCCCAAATAAATTAACAATGTTATATGTATGGACAACCAAAAATTAGAAAAATTCATTACAACTTTGTTAGGAGCTTTGACAAATTTTCCAAATAGATTAACAACACTTTTACATATATATTGACAACAAGTAATCCAGAAAATTCATTACAACTTTGTTAGACATGTTAACAACTCTTTTAAATATATTAACAACACTTTTATATGTATTGAGAACAAGTAATCAGAAAAATTCATTATAAGACAAACCAATAAGTAAACTTAGACAAATAGCATGCTGCCAGCTAATTAAAGCCATTGACAACTCTTCCAAATATATTGACAATAATTTTCTTAACAAAATTCATTATAGGGCAAACCCATTGGAAAACTAAAATAAATCACATGTTGCCCCCTTATTAGACGTGTTGACAACTCTTTCATATAAGTTAACAACACTTAATAAATAAATGGATTATTTTAACTTGCTTTTTGCATTGTTTTTTCTTTTGTCAATTTATTAAGGGCAAGCTTGTCTTTTGCCAACATTTAGAAATGCCATATCAGTACTCCTGTTTTGATATAACTTTTTGCTTTTCACTAGTACTAATAGAGGATTTTGTATATTTAAAGGTATTTTCTCATCTTTTTCCCATCATTTAATGTATTTTTAAGTTTAATAAGTCTTTTATTAATTTTTAAGGGTGAGTGAGTATTTAAATTTGTGTGTATGCTTAGTTAAAAAAATACTACATCCAATCCTTAATATAAGAGCAAACAGAATAATTTGAGTAGATTAAGAAAGTTTGTTAAGTTAGTTATTTGTAATAAATAGATGTTGTCTTCTCTAAAATACTTTTGTTAATTATGTGTATTAGTTGGAATTACAATTTAAAATCTAAAAATACAGCTCATAATTTCTTTCGGGTCTTATTTTTATATTATTATTTATTGATTAAATTATTAGAGCACGATGCTGAAAGATCCGTAGTACTTTTTTTTTTGGACTAGTGTAAGATCTGTAGTACTGGAACACAATGTGAGAATCACTTTATATATTGAGTTAATATTCAATATTCAATAAAATCAGAGAATATCTAGACATGGTTAAAATGCATTTAGCACTTTGAAAATTTTTTTGAGGAACATTCAATGCCCTAAATTATATTTTGGTGCATCTAATACCTTAAGTTATTCTTTTGGATACATTCAACATCCTAAATTATTTTTTGGTGCATCTGGCACCTTAAATTGTTGAGTATAAAAATTGCTTATTGAGTTCACATTGTTTATATTATTTGATGACATTTTCTAGGTCTTTGTTACACTTTTTGGCTCATTTGAATGATATTTATGCTTAATTGAGATTGAGAGTGTTTGCTTTAAGTTAGTGTTATTTGAGGGTAAAATTGTCATATTTATTCATTAATTGCATTCAATTGATTTTTGGGACAATTGATACCTCAAACCATTGTTTTTTATTTCAGGACACTCAAGAAGTAGAGTCAAGAGTTAAGACTAAGGAAGTGCAGTACACAAGAGGCAATATTAACATTTCTGCCAGGTTTCACCATGGCGAAATATAGAACTTCTACTAGAGACCTCTCGGCCATGGTTCGCCACGTCGAAACCATACCTTTGTTGTGGTGAACTCTTCGAATCAGCAACCCGACCCAAACCATTTTCAGAAATTTTACCTACCTACTCATACAAACCAACCCAGTACACCTCACTACCGGTTTAGAAAACCTATTTCAGTGTAAGTGACATCATTCATTCCTGTCACAGCCTCCATCTCTGTTCTCTCTCATCCTTCTCTCATCTAACCCTAATCTCTTCCATTTTCCACTATCAAACCTCCACCATGGGAAGCTCAGATTCATTCCTAGTTGAGATACTTCAGATTTCCATGTATGGCTAGGTGTTTCTCTTCCTCTTGAAGGTGTAGCAATGGCTGGAGTTCAATAAGTTAAGAAGGGGAGTAGTTTAATCCCAGTTTAGCTATGAATTTATGAGTTTCTAGGTTTAGGATTTGTAATTTGTAGTTGAACTACTTGATTATAGTTGTAATCAACTTTGGATATTCATTTGTGTAGTGGATTGACTATTATAGAACTTTTGAGCTTAAATATATGAAGTATCATGTATGTCAGTTGTGATCTTTAGATTCCCTCTACTCTTACGTGGTTGTGTCTGGATATTTAGTTGATTTTGATTGCATTTGACCTATTGCATTAATCAATCTTTTTGCACACACTAAGAACACTTCACAGGATCTTGAGAAATGGAGTTCTTTTGATTAAGATCCTGAACTTAAAGAGTACTTTAAGGTTTATCATTTTGAAACTTAGTGATTTCTACTTCCATATCAATTGATTTTGAACTATGACAACCTAAGCACACTTTCAAGAGGATCTTTATCATTGTCTGGTTATCTGTTTATCATCATTCATTTTTCATTTCCCTAAAATCCAAAAATATTTTGTTTATCATTCAGTTCAATTCACTTAATGTTATTGAAAAACCAAAACCCCCTGTTTATGTTCAATTTGCATTGTATGACATTTAAGTTAGCCTAGGTCGATTTCATTAAGGCTGCGTTTAAGTGAAACGACTCGAGGTTGCACCCTATAGTGCAATCCTTGGATAAAAATTTTGATTTAACTTCCAAGGTCAAGAAAAGGTTGCGAATCAAATGGCGCTATTACCGGGGAGCCAAGAAATTGGTTCTCTAGGTTAGCTTGTGTCATATTTTCTGTCAATCGAGGTTTTACGCCTTTTTAGGTTGCATTTTAGATAGCTTAGGATCATATTTGTTCATAGTAGAGGTCTTTATTTTGCTTAGCATCAAAATCTTAGAAAATACAAACAAATATACTGATTTTCTACATCTTTCTGCATTTACACTTTGCATTTGCATCGTCCAGGACTTCTCAGGCTCTTTGTGACCTTTCGTCTCGGCCAACTCTTGTTTTTGCCACGGCCAACGAGTAAAAATTCATGAGTATCCCTCTTAGAACACCTTCGCCGTGGCCAACTCTTGCTTTCGCCGTGGCAAACCTACTATATTCAGCTTATAAACCGTCTTAGGACAGTTTCGTTGCCGCATACTTCTACTTTCGCAGTGGTGAATCCTTCTAGACATTTTTGAAACTTGACCCTTTTGGCCTTTCTTTCTATGCATACACACCCATACTCATACATACACTTGCATCCATCACAATTCATACTTTTATCTGACTTTGTGTGCTGTAAGTCAATTTTGTTTGCTCTGTCTCTGTGACCTTGTCCTTACATGCCACACAAAACCAAGCTTGTACCCTTTAACCCAGAGATTGAGAGAAGACTTAGAGAGATAAGAAGAGAAAAGAGAGTTGAGGGGACAAGTGAATTAGTGGTTGAACAAGAAAACATCTTTGTGGAATCTAGCCTATCTAGCAGTGAGAGTGAACCTATTAAAGAAGAGATCATGGCTGATTTACCATCTAACCCACTTGATCCTAACCCTAATGCCAACCAATTGAGGAACGGTTGCAACGAAGGGAATGGAGAACAAGAGAGAGCAGGAGAAAATAATGGGCACCCTAGAAGAAGAACAATTAGGGAAGTTAACTTTGACCCTTTTACTGCTGCATGTCCAAATTTTGACCCTTTTACTGCTACATGTCCAAATTTTGAAGTTAACTTTGAAATTAAAGTTTTATTGATTAACTCACTTTCAAAATTTCATGGCTTGATAGGAGAAGATCCATATCTCCACTTGTAGTCCCTTTCTATGGTTTGTCAGAGCATGAAGCCTATGGGAGCATCGTTAGACCAAGTGCTGTGGAAGGTCTTCCATTTATCATTAAAGGGTAAAGCTCGAGAGTGGTATATGAGCCTTCTAAGGCATATGGCTGATGCATATCACAGTTAAGGGAACTTAAAGAAAGCATTCTTGGAGAAATACTTTTTGGCTTCTCAAACTTCATCAATGAGAAAGGAGATCTATTCGGCTAAGCAAGATTATGATGAGTCTCTTTATGACTATTGGAATAGATTCCAAGATCTACTCTCATGATGCCCACACCATCAGATTCCGGATGAACAATTTATGCAATATTTTTATGATGCGTTGAAGAACCAAGAGAAGGGTATGTTAGATGCTGCAACAGGAGGATCTTTGATAGACTCCACTGCTAAAGAGGCCTGGGAACTGATCAAAAAAATGGCCCTGAATCATCAGCAATATGGTGTAAGAGACACTAGAGTAGCATATGAATTAGGAGCTTCTACCATTCATAACAAAAGAATGGACACTTTGGAGTCAAAAGTTGATTCTTTGGAGAGCAAGGTGACTTCTCAATTATCCCTTATCACTGCGGAGTTGAAGAATATGAGTGTTCATTGACCACCACCCCCTATGTATATTACTACCCCTAGTTACTTGTGGTTCGGTTATGCATATTTCTAGTGTCTGTCCAGGTCAGTATGAAGAAGTATTTGCAGTTTTCTAGGGTCGTTGAAATCAGAAGTGGGACCCTTACTCTAATACTTATAACAAGGGGTAGACAGCAAACCCTCAACTTGGTTGGAGGAATAAAGATAGTAGACCTCAAAACAGATGTTAGAAGAGTGGAGGAGCTGGTTCATCCTCAAACCACTTCCAAAACCAATGCATGGCCTTGACCATTCCTCTGAAAGAAGACACAAATCAACTCCTACAAAACATGATGGCCTTGATAAAAGAAGAAAGGACTTCTAATCCCAATCAGCTCAACTCTTTGGCTTCTCTGATTCAACAAGACTCCTCTTAAAATGATGCCAGATTTAGTTCCCTAGAGAAAAGGATGTAGCATTGGGAGACAAAGGCCGAGAATATCAATTTATATGTAACTCAGCTATCTAATAACATGAGTGAGCAGCAAGCTAGGAGCAGCGGCACTATTCCCCCCAACATTGTTATAAACCCTAAGGGTTTGAATGCTATCACTCTTCAAAGTGGGAAGCAAGTAAAATTTAATAAAGGGGAGGATGAGAATGTTGATAAGGAGATTGCTTGTGATGAGCTGCCATCATCACCTATAAAGGTCAAGAATTCTGAAAGCTCCAAGGAGATGAAATTGTGACGGAAGAAGTCCACTACCAAGCATGATGGCAAGGGGAATACAAAGGAATCTAAACCAAGCAAGCATGGAGCTTTGAGCAAAGAAGGTAAGGAGGTAAACATCAATGAACTACCTTTTCCTCATCCTTACTTGAAAAATGTAAAAATGGGTAATGAAAGGCAAGATCATAAGTTGCTTGAGACTTTTAGGAAGGTAGAAGTGAACATACCCTTGCTTGACCTGATTAAAATGATTCCTAAATATGCAAGAGTTCTAAAAGAGCTGTGTACACAAAAGAGGAGATTTAAACCTAATGAGAGAGTCCAATTGCCCTCTAATGTGTCTGCCTTGTTTAAACCTCAAATCCCAGTAAAATGCCAAGACTCTGGATCTTTCACCATCCCTTGCACTATAGGAAAAGTCACTATAGGGGGAGTCTTGCTAGATCTAGGAGCAGCCATTAATGTCATGCCTAAGTCTGTTTACACTTCAGTAGGAGTCAAGAGTCAAGACTCAAGTCTACTATTGTTGTACTCTAACCGGCTGATAGGACTATTAGGTATCCTGAAGGCATTATTGAGGATATTTTGGTCCAAGTTAAGGAATTGGTTTTTCCTAGTGATTTCTATGTGCTTGACATGTCTTCTGAGCTCGTAAATGACACTATACTAATCTTTGGTCGACCTTTCTTAAGGACTGCTAATACCATGATTAGCATGAAAGAGGACACCATTACAATGGAAGCAATGAAACATCCTTATGAGGACTATTCACTTTTGGGTGTTAATATGATAGACATTGCTGTTGAGGATGCTTGCTCTGAAATTGAATTGCAAAATGATTCTTTTTGCTCTGACGTTTACTCTACTGATTTTGCTGATGAGGATGAATCTATTTCTTCTTTTTCATCTCTTTCTACTTGTTCATGTGGTGGTGACGTGACATGCCTTGGCTGTACTGTAGTTAATTGCATGCTTTCCATCCGGCATACATTCTCTATATCATTGACTGATTCAAATTCGAATTGTGATTCTTCTATTATCAGTGATAAACCGCTTAGGGAAAGGTTTTTTGTTGATATTTCAGATTGCCCTAGCATTGTGGAAGCTGATGCTGCAATGGAGAATGATGGAACTCAATGCTTAGTTGAAGATAATGGAGATGATATGTAGAAGAATCCCTCCAAGGCGGTTGCAGCTGTAGATCAACTTGAAGTTAGTTCAACGCTTGAGAGGAAGGAGATTGCAAAGCTGATCATATTCAGCCAGAGCTATCATTGGTTAAGGAAAGGGGAGTAATCTGTTCTCTCTTGAACTTCATAAATTGATTCCTTCTGTTGTGCAACCATCCATACTTGATTTGAAACCCCTACCCCCTACTTTGAAATATGCTTTCCTTGAGTCTAATGAGCAATTACCTATTATCATTGCTAACTCGCTATCTGATAGTGAGGAAGAGAGACTTTTATCTGTTTTAAGGGAGCATAAGAGGGCAATAGGGTGGACCTTAGCGGATATTCCTGGAATTAGTCCAGCTATTTGCACATATAGGATTTTTCTTAGTGAGGGATCAAAACCAGTGAGGCAACCCCAAAGACGACCGAACCCTCTTATCCTTGATGTAGTTAAGAAGGAGATTACTAATTTATCTCAAATTTAATTTTTCAATAATTAAATAAAAAAAGAAAACTAATTTCTTTCTCTTTAGTGATTTTTCCTATTTTCAAAGGAACTGGGAAAAATCTTGGATACTTGAGGGTCTTCTTTTAATTCCATAACCTCTTATAATTCCTTGGGATGTCATAGGAATTTTCTTGGGATTTT